AGGGGGAGCTGCTCCCAGGGCTCTCGGATTCTGACTCCACCCGGTGGTTTGGGGTCTCTAAGCTCATGGGATGCCCCTGGAGCGTGTCCCCCTCTGGTGCGTGGTGCCATCATTGTGCCCTCCCTCAGGACCTGCTGCCATGGGCCAGATTAGACAAGCAGAAGCCTTCAGTCCCATCCTCTGCCTCAATCAGGGGCTCTGCTGGCTGCCAGATCATACTGGGGGCAGTCTGGGGAGCAGGATGAGGTCTCTGGGGAGAGGAGGGGGTTCCTGTGGCTGAGGTGGCATTAGAGTGACAGCAGCCCGGTGGCACAGGTCCCTTAGGGCAGGGCATGGCCCCCTTGGCATGGAGGGGATTGTAGTGACATCCCCCCAACATCTCGCTCCCCAGATTTTACTGGGACTTCACGATGCTGCTCTTCATGGTGGGCAACCTGATCATCATCCCCGTGGGCATCACCTTCTTCAAGGAGGAGACCACGGCCCCCTGGATCGTGTTCAACGTGGTCTCTGACACCTTCTTCCTGATGGACCTGGTGCTGAACTTCCGGACCGGGATTGTCATTGAGGACAACACCGAAATCATCCTGGACCCCGAGAAGATCAAGAAGAAGTACCTCAAGACCTGGTTCGTGGTGGATTTTGTCTCCTCCATCCCCGTGGACTACGTTTTCCTCATTGTGGAGAAGGGCATAGACTCGGAGGTCTATAAGACAGCCCGCGCCCTGCGCATCGTGCGCTTCACCAAGATCCTGAGCCTGCTGCGGCTGCTGCGCCTCTCGCGCCTCATCCGCTACATCCACCAGTGGGAGGAGGTGAGGGTGCTTCAGGAGCCCCTGCATGGCTGCAGAGAGGGGGAGCTGGGTTCCCTGATGAGCTGGCAGGGTGCAGAGGACCTGTGGGGCCCGTGGGTGGCTGTGACCCACGCTGGAGGGTTTGGGGCATCCCTGAGCTGTGATACAGCACCCAGCATGGGTGGCAGCATGGCTGGCACATGCTGGCACACCATCCCTGTAGGACCCTGTGCCCCTGCCCAGCTCAGCACCTCCTGCCCCTCTGCCTCCCTTCCCCACCAGGAGCTCAGGGAGAATAGCAGGACCCCTCAGCACCTCCAGCTTTGAGGGTCCTCCCTGCTTTGAGGGGACACTCAGCTTTGCTGCGTGGCTCTGGCTATGCCCTGGGAGCTGCCCTGTGGGGCTGGTGGGTGGCTGTGACCCACCCTGGAGGGTTTGGGACATCCCTGAGCTGTGATATAGCACCCACCATGGGTGGCAGCATGGCTGGCACATGCTGGCACACCATCCCCTGCTCTGCCAGCAGTAAGACTCAATCCCCCTGCCCAGCTCAACACCTCCTGCCCCTTTGCCTCCCTATCCCACCAGGAGCCCAGGGAGGACAGCAGGACCTCCAGCTCCGTGGGGTTTCCATCTTTGAGGGTCCTCCCTGCTTTGAGGGGACACTCAGCTTTGCTGCGTGGTTCTGGCCATGCCCTGGGAGCTGCCCTGCTCCCTCCTCAGTGCCCAGGGTATTTGTGTGTCCCTGATCCTCGTCAAGGCTCGCTGCCATTAGCGCTGTCCGGGCGGCAGCGCGGCGGCACCCGCCGGCTATAAATAGGCAGGTGGAGCACAGACACCTCCTTGAATCCAGAGCCAGGCCAGCCACAGGAGCCTCTGCCAGCTGAGGCCATGCAGGTCGGTGCCCTGAGCAGGGCTGGGCACTGGGGGACAGTCCCCAGGCTCAGCTCCTGCCATGCCACCCACCCGCAGATCTTCCACATGACGTACGACCTGGCCAGCGCCGTGATGAGGATCATCAACCTCATCGGGATGATGCTGCTGCTGTGCCACTGGGATGGCTGCCTCCAGTTCCTGGTGCCCATGCTGCAGGATTTCCCCCAGAACTGCTGGGTGTCCATCAACGGGATGGTGGTGAGTTCCATGTGCCCCACGCCGTGCTCCTGCCTGCTCCCCAGGGCTCCCATCCATCCCCACATCCTCCATCCTCCATCCTCCAGCCCCAGGAGATGCCATCCCCCGTGGGCCAGGGCAGAGGAGCACAGAGCACCCGGCCCCAGATGCTGGTGTCACCCTGGTGAGGTCTCACAGGACCTTGATCAGGGTGGGAGGAATTTGCTGACATGGGGCTCTTGGCCCCATCCCCTGCTGCCTTCTCCTGCTCATTAGCCACAAAGCTGCTATTAATAAATAATGGCTCCTGTTTCTAATTGCTGCCTCTCAGCCCTGCAGCCTCCTGCAAATGGCCCTTTTCCCCCGTCTGTCTCATCCTGTTTCATCAAATTTCCATCTCTGCTTTGTTCCGCCTGGCTTCCTCCTCTTCCTCCCCTGCCTGTCTCACCCTTTTCCTTCCCTGCCTACATCACCGGGGGAGTTGGGGAAGTTTGAAAACTTTGCTTTTCAACAAATCCCTATTGCTGGGAGACAACTGGGGCTGTTGATGGAGCCAGGGCCTTTCAGCAATGCTCACACACACTCATGCATGGCTGCCATTGTCCCTGTCACTGCAGAACGACTCCTGGAGCGAGCTCTACTCCTTCGCCCTCTTCAAGTCCATGAGCCACATGCTGTGCATCGGCTACGGGAAGCAGGCGCCCGAGAGCATGACAGACATCTGGCTGACCATGCTGAGCATGATCGTGGGGGCCACCTGCTACGCCATGTTCATCGGCCACGCCACCGCCCTCATCCAGTCGCTGGACTCCTCCCGGCGCCAGTACCAGGAGAAGGTAGGGCTGGGCTGGATGGGGCCACAGCTTTGTCCCCTCTTGGACAGGAAGAGGGGACAGGAAGAGACACCCCATGTGGGGTGAGGGTTCCTGTGACCGTGTTCACAGGGGTCTTAGGATGAGGGAAGAGACGGGGATCTGGTTCTAATCAGAAGGCTTGACTTATTATTTTATTATATATATTACAATAAAACTATACTAAAAGAAAATATATAGAAGAAAAAATTATAATATAATATAATATAATATAATATAATATAATATAATATAATATAATATAATATAATATAATATAATATAATATAATATATGTATTCAAAAGGCTTGACTTATTATTTGATTATATATATTATATTAAAACTATACTGAAAGAAAATATATAGAAGAAAATATATATATAAAGAAAATATCATACAATATATATTCAAAAGGCTTGATTTATATTTTATTATATTATATTAAAACTATACTAAAAGACAATATATAGAAGAAAATATATTAAGATATATATATAAAGAAAATATAATATAATATATATTCAAAAGGCTTGACTTATTATTTGATTATATATATTATATTAAAACTATACTAAAAGAAAATATATAGAAGAAAAAAAATATATATAAAGAAAATATCATACAATATATATTCAAAAGGCTTGATTTATATTTTATTATATTATATTAAAACTATACTAAAAGAAAATATATAGAAGAAAATATATTAAGATATATATAAAGAAAATATAATATAATATATATTCAAAAAGCTTGATTTATTATTTTATTATATATAGTATATTAAAACTATACTAAAAGAAAATATACAGAAGAAAGTATATATATAAAGAAAATATCATGCAATATATATTCAAAAGGCTTGATTTATATTTTATTATATTATATTAAAACTATACTAAAAGAAAATATATAGAAGAAAATATATTAAGATATATATAAAGAAAAAATATAATATAATATATATTCAAAAAGCTTGATTTATTATTTTATTATATATATTATATTAAAACTATACTAAAAGAATAGAAGAAAAGGTGTCATCAGAAGGTCAGCTAAGAATAGAAAAAGAAGGAATGATAACAAAGGCTTGTGGCTCAGACTCTCTGTCCAAGCCAGCTGACTGTGATTGGCCATTAATTAGAAGTAACCACATGACACCAATCACAGATGCACCTGTTGCATTCCACAGCAGCAGATAATCATTATTTACATTTTGTTCCTGAGGCCTGTCAGCTTCTCAGGAGGAAAAACCTTAAGAAAAGGATTTTTCATAAAAGATGTCTGTGACAGGTAGCCAGTCAGGAACAGGAGCAGGAGTGGGAGCAGCCCCGTGGATGGGGATGTCCCAGCTGACCACAGCTCTCCCCACAGTACAAGCAGGTGGAGCAGTACATGTCCTTCCACAAGCTGCCCGCTGATTTCCGACAGAAGATCCACGACTACTACGAGCATCGCTACCAGGGCAAGATGTTTGATGAGGACAGCATCCTGGGGGAGCTCAATGAGCCCCTGCGTGAGGTGAGGGCTGGGGGGCTGGGAGGAGGATGGGGGTTACCCCAGCTGCCAAGGGAAGGGATCCCCTGCTCCTTGCTGAGGGTCCCACCAGCCATGCACATGCTTGGGGTCAAACGTCTTTCTGCAGCTCTGTGTGGGAGCATGTCCCTGCACAATCTGCATGCCAGGGTGTCCGTGAGACTGGGGTGGGCAGTATATCCCTGGGGAAACACGTCCCAGCTTTCTGGGCTCACCCACTTCCCCACAGGAAATCGTGAACTTCAACTGCCGCAAGCTGGTGGCCTCCATGCCGCTGTTTGCCAACGCCGACCCCAACTTTGTCACGGCCATGCTGACCAAGCTGAAGTTTGAGGTGTTCCAACCGGGCGACTACATCATCCGAGAGGGCACCATTGGCAAGAAGATGTACTTCATCCAGCACGGGGTGGTCAGCATCCTCACCAAGGGCAACAAGGAGATGAAACTCTCCGATGGCTCCTACTTTGGGGGTGAGCACTGGCAGGACTGAGCCAGGGTCTGTGAGAGTCACAGGGACACCTCTGCTGTCCCAGAGCACCCAGTGTGTGGTGGTTCTCACAGCCTGCCCTGTTTTGTCCTCGATGGTGGAGTTCTGACCTTGGCCCTGGTGTTTTTCCCCAGAGATCTGCTTGCTGACCCGCGGCCGGCGCACGGCCAGCGTCCGTGCCGACACCTACTGCCGCCTCTACTCGCTCTCTGTGGACAACTTCAACGAGGTGCTGGAGGAGTACCCCATGATGAGACGGGCCTTCGAGACTGTGGCCATCGACCGTCTCGACCGCATCGGTAGGACACAGGGGGATCTGGGGGGGAGAGGGGTGTCTTGGCAAAGGGGAAAGCTGTGATTCCCATGGGAACCCAGCATAGCCCTAGCACTGGGTCTCACGGTGCTTCCTCTCCCTCTGTAGGGAAGAAGAACTCGATCCTGCTCCACAAAGTGCAGCACGACCTCAACTCAGGTGTCTTCAACAACCAGGAGAACGAGATCATCCAGGAGATCGTCAAGTACGACCGGGAGATGGTGCAGCAGGCGGAGCTGCAGCAGCACACGGCCATGTACAGCCCCGTGCAGCCCCAGGTCACCTCTGCCATCGCCACCCTCCAGCAA